CTTTTTGCGAGTAAATTCAAAGCAATTTCCCCCCCTTATCATATCAAGCAACGGCTCAGTGGATAATCCTCTCTGGACTCATTTTCTCCCACAAGTTATCTCTGTGCCTTTTTACCGTTTTTCCCTTCTTTGGTTTATTTTTTTAATTGCCAGCTCGCCTCTTTCTGTTTTGACTCGGTGGTTATCTGTAATTAAAAAGTTCTGTATCAGACAGCAAAGGAACAAATAATAGGTTTATTCCAGGCTGAAAAGAGAAGAAAGGAAACGCAACGTTTCGGCTTTGGAGCCTTCTTTGGGTGTGAGAAAGACAGGGCAGACAGCAAAGATTATATAGCATAGGAGAGCAAAAGCCGGGAGAGTGGCGGAGGTTGGAGAAGGGGAGAGTTAGATTGGCTACTCAGGTGGTGCGAAGTTGAGAGACGTGTAGAGAGGTGTAAAGTCAAAACCTACAAATGAATAGAGAGGATTAGAACTAAGCAAATCTGTCGCTGAGAGAAGGGGGAAGGTGAGAACCAAGTTTCAGGATAATTTTAGTTTCTGAAGTCTTTCTGCTATAGGAGTTAAGAAATCCTTCTTTGAGAACGCAGATGGAGAGATCAGTGTGGTCATGGCCGTCAGAGGTGAAATGAGAAACTTTGGGCTTGGAGAAATCTTTCATCTTCACAGCCCTAACATTAAGCGGTCTCCCGAGTCTCCTTCCTGTTTCCCCAATGTAGATGGCTGGGCATTTTCTGCAAGAGATACAGTAAATAAGGTTGCTGGGGCTACAAGATGTCATCTGAGTGATCCGGAAATTGTCCTGAGGGGACTTGAATGAGTGTGGTGTTAGATATGTTCTTGTAGGTGTCTCCCTTTCACCTGCCTGGTTCATCTCTCTCCCTCTCTGAATTCACCATCTAAGTCTAAGGCATTCACTGCTGCTAGAGTTCAACCTTAAACAGCACGCTGAGGACTGTGCTTGACCAATCATCACGCTGTTTTCACATTCTATCTTTACCCACAAAGGTTAATGTACGTGAAAAAAAGTTGTTAAACCTGTGTGTAATGCTTCTGTGTACTTGTTTGCAGTATTAATTTAGTCAGCATTATTTATTTTGTATGATTTGGTCATAGTTTTGTTACTGATTATTGATAATAAATCTTATATAGGGACATTGTATGAAACTTTCATACAGGAAGATCTGTTTTGGCACTGATAATGCTTCTGTAATTTTCTAGAGGTTTTTGTTGAGGTTATGTTTTCAAAGCAACTTTTTAAAACGTTTCAGAGCAATATCAATTTTATTTAGGCAACTTATTTAGGAGTTCAGGGTTCAGTTTATTGTCATATGCACAAGTGCAATGAAATGCTTAGTTTCATTTTCTTCAACTAAAATAAAAAATGGGTTGCTGAGGTTGTCCAGGTGTCTGTGTTGGAGAAGCCTCTTTATTACATATGCATATGGAAGAATGGCTTGCAACCACCGAACTCAAAAATCAGTAACTAAAGATGGTCTTTTATAACGTGGAACAAAAAAGCTAAAGTGACATTCCCCCTATAACATGAGAAAAATACTCTCACCCAAAAGGCTACTTGATTAATGAGAGCTGTGCAGCTGATCACCTCTTTTTGTGTATTCCTTGATAGATGTGTTGTGGAAATCCGTAATACACAGCTCAAGTGG